ATCAAATCAGAGACTCGTATATGTTTACTTGTAACATTGTAAAACAAGTCCAGTGTTTGCCAGCGCGCTGTAGAAATGCACTGTTTGATTTCCTCTGTGATCTGGAGAAATTGGTAAGCATGGGCGGAAGATCAACAAAACTGCAGGGGCAAGCTTTAATCATGAAAAATGGATTTGTAGGAAGAAAGCATTGCCATGTTATGACTGGAGAAATAGCTGTTTATTGGCAACCATAACTTTCTCACCAGTCGATAATGGTTTAGTTTAGTTGTGTGGAAACAACCCTGATCCTTTAGGAGCCATAAAATCTCAATTGAAGGTAAATTGTTTCAATAGTGTATTTGTAAAGGAAATATTGATAGCAGCATTGTTATTGAAATAGGAAAGTTTATGGGCCTTGTGATTAGTGATAATTGTGAAAAATGGTCCAAATGTGGGTAAAAAATTGTGTGGATGGCATAACTCCATTCTCGACTATGGAGGTCTCTTGGTGTTAATTAAAGGTATTAATGTAGAAATGTTGCAGTGCTGCTTCCAAATCTGTCTATCTCAGAGGTGGATTGTTTGTGCCCAGTGTGTTGGAGAGAGAAGCCAGGCTTTGCTTTCAGTACAACATGTCTCCTTTGAGGCGATGTTGGTTGACAAAATGTCTGCATCAGACCTGCAGACTTATTGTCCAAGTCATATGTATTGTATCAGTCTTGTTTCACAAATTACATTCTTGGTTTGCACATTTCTACTGTAAGATGTATTTTTGTATTTATCTATTTATTGTCACTATCCATGTCTTTTTCTATCAGCAAGTCTGTGCTGCAGAATTGTGGGATTAGAGGAGCCTTTGTGGAGGTTTATATGGTCTTCTGTTAGGTGCATTTCCTTGTCGAAGTGCCAGCTTCACTTTTATGCATGGTTCAAGTTAGAAACCTAATCAAAGAGGGAACTTGAATTTTGCCTTTGTTTCAATTCCATTTTGAGAGGATTTCTTGAATAATTTAAAGAAGGATCTTGTCAGATAAAGTAAAAAAAATGAATGAATTTCTGTCTTACAAATAACATGAGGGTACAAAGACTTGGATGAATATATAAAGACACCACTGGCACATTAGTTCCAAGTGAGTGTTTCCATGACAGAGGGTGATGGGGGTAGCGGAGGGGGGTGGGGAGAATGGGCAATCCAGAGGTTGTAACTGAACCCTCGGCCTAGTTGGTTGGTTTATTGTTTAACGCTGCACTCAGCAATATTCCAGCTATATGGCAGCGGTCTGTATATAATCGAGTCTGGACCATACAATCCAGTGATCAATATGAGTATTGATCTACGAAATTGGGATTCAATGACGTGTCAACCAAGTCAGGATCCTGACCACCTGATCTCCCTAGTCGCCCCTTATGATAAAACATGGGTAATTGAAGATCAATTCTTTCCCGGATCTTCATGGGTCCTCAGTCAAGTAACTCAATGACGTGGGAACTATGTGCACCTACCAATATAAAATGGGCACAAGACCAAGAAGCTGAGCATTGCTCAGTGTTCTCCTGGGGTTTCATGAAATTTGATTTGTGGTTGTCTGCGATCAAGTGTAGTGCAACTTGCTACTCCGACGTGAGAGTCTTACGAGCAACGCGTGTGCAGCTGCACGCGGAATCAATTTCATCATCGTTCAATGCACGTGCACTAGCCTACATCTGCTCTACCTTTCACAAACCAAATGGGTTTGCTCATTGCCTTGCACCGCCTACTTCTCGTAAATGCGTTCTCTGCACCGGTCCAACTTATCCTTGTTTGCCAGTAGGACCTACATCACTTCCTGTTTCCTCCCACCTTATACTGACACACCATGATTACTGACATAGTGTCCAAAGTGGCCTTAAACACTCACTCACTCACTTTGCATTTTTCATGCATGTTTAAAATACTGAAGATGTCACACTGAAATGTTCAAGGTTGAAAGTTCATGTGAACTTTAATGTCAAAAGTAGGCTAAAACAAATTCAAGGTATCACATTCTACTTTCAAATTACTCATTGTTTTTGATATGAGAAAAAAAGCTTTTCACCCACTGCTCTTAATTAAAATTTTTACATATTTTTTTTTCTCCAGAAAGCTTCAAGTCAGAAGAGTAGAAATCATACAATAAATGAATTAATTGGATTGCAATTGGTTTTGATGTTGTGTGGCAAAGGTCAAGGCCACCAGATTAAACAGGCCCACTGAAATATGGCTTACACTTGAAATTGTATTATTTTACAGTGCCACTTTTTTCCTTTGCTCACTTTGCTACCTCTGCCACTAAACCCATGAAGGTCCGGGTTAGAATGAACCTTCAGTAACCCATGCTTGTTGGAAGAGGCGACTAACGGGATTGGGTGGTCAGGCTCGCTGACTTGGTTGACACATGTCATCGGTTCCCAGTTGCAAAGGTCAATGCTCATGCTGTTGATCACTGAATTGTCTGTTCCAGACTCAATTATTTACAGACCGCCGCCATATAGCTGGAATATTGCAGACCGCCACCATATAGCTGGAATATTGCTGAGTGCAGCGTAAAACTCAACTCACTCACTCACTCACTCCTCTGCCACTATCACCACTACTTCTACTACTGGGGTGGTGGGGTAGCCCAGTGGTTAAAGCACCCGCTCATCACGCTCACTCCATTGAATGGGTACAATGTGTGAAGCCCATTTCTGGTGTCCCCCGCCATGATATGGCTGGTATATTGCTAAAAGTGGGGTAAAACTTAACTCACTCCAATACTACTACTACTACTACTACTACTACTACTACTACTACTACTACTACTACTACTACTACTACTACTACTACTTTCTTCTATTGCTACTATTGCAAAAGCTACTACTACTACTACTACTACTACTGCTACACTACTACTACTACACTACTGTTTCTTCTAGTGCTACAGCAACTACTAGTACTATTGCAACTCCTACTTCTAATGCTGCTACTTCTACTACCCATTCTACTGTTAGCACCACAACTACAACTACTAATGCTTGTGAAGATTTATCATCTCTTGTGACCAGAATCTGTGCACCAGCAAAATAAAGTAACATTATGTTCATCGGGGAATGCATTCAATTCCATGAGAATGAAGCTATTTTTATAGTGTTTGTGTTTTCTGATACGAGTGGGAATTACCACAGCCATATGTTTTTTGTATTGACAAAGTAAAGCTATTCAAATAGCATTGGTTTACGGTGTTGTATGGAAGCTGATTGATGTTTGTAAACATTGGCCGAGTCACGTGGGAATCCAGAAAGACAACACAAGTTGCTAATGACGTAGAAGTGCTGCTTTTTATTCTTTATGGTAGTTGTGATAGGGTTATTTTACCAGTAGTGTGTCTCAGGGGAATGTCAAATTGTTACTGATATACCAATTGTCAGGCTAGAATGTGCTTTTTGCTCAACAGTTATCTGGCTATTTTGTTGTCTGCTAGGATTTAGCATGGAACTGCTCTCTTTGTAATGCATGATGCCAATTAAACACATCTTTAAGCCCTGTTTTCTATATGGTTTTGTAGAAATTTAACTACTGCCATTTGTAATTATTCTTTTTTTAAATTATTGACATTACAGGACATCTTCCCATTGATATCTTCCACATTATGAAAAGGTCAGTTAAAGGTCAAGGTTACAGATAAAAAACTGCTCACCTTTATAACTGGTGTTTGTATGCTTTAGACTAACACTTAGTTTCTGAATATATATAACTTTGATAGAAACAAACAGTCCCTTTTAAACTGAAGAGGAGCCACTAGTGAGTAGGGAGATCCTGAACCTGAGGGCTGTCTCCCATGGTAGCATCAAGACTTGCTTCATTTAGTATTGCAGAAAGGCATGGCAGAAGGGAAAAATAATGTGGTTCAAGGACTGTGAGACAGACTTATGCAACATTTATGGCCCAACCTATAGACAGCCATTAGGAAAGGGCAGTGCTTTGAAAATGTTTTGGACCTACATGAGGTCAAGGTCATAGGTCATTCATCACGATCAGTTGTTACATGAGATGGAAAAGTTGGTCCTAAGATATACTCCATGAAACTTGAAATTTACAAGTGTCAATACAGTTCTTACTGGGGCAGTAACATGTCTTTCAAGGATCAAGGTCATTGTAGAGGTTACTGGAAAAGTCATTGTCGCTCTTCTGCACATTCTTACATGTAGTTTTAGTCTTCAAAGCAGTGTTCATAATATGCATTTGTACTGTGTTAATGGACACTGTGAAGCTAAGGACACCTACTCTGTCTGAAAATTTACAAAACTGTCAATATGTACTTGTCAATTTAACAAATTCCTTACAGAAAACAGCAATGTAGGGTGTCAACATAACTGTCTTGTAACTATTGTCCAAAAGGGTTTTAGTTTCATGCAGTTAGATTTGAATAAAGTTTGTTTACTACTACTCAATTCCTTACAACAAAGTTTACTTATTGTGTGTGGTTTAAATAAGCACCTTCCTCCAACTACTATTATTATTGTGCATTGGGACCTGTCAGATTCACTTGTCAAATATCTGGAGCCCTGAAACCTGGCCTCCCCACGACTACAGCTTGTTCAGCTTGACCTGATCAAGTGACTACTAATGCATTACCCATGACCGTGTCACAACTGGTTGGGTCTATTATTGTGAAGGGGTGCACCTTTGTCAGCTGATTGTCAACATGTCCGAACAGCCGAGACAAGGTCGTCGTTTGACATCTCAGTGTCGAGAAATCGTAAGCAGTATCCTAACTTTCTTAAAAAAAAGAAGCTACTGATGGTTTAATGTTTCCAATTTGAGATGTAATGAATCCATGTATGCATGTTTCGCACGAACGCAACATTAATAACATTCTCTGCTCCCCTATTTAATAAAGTTAACTCGACCTGTCGTTTGTGCCATTTGACCTCCCGGGTCATGCATATGTAGAGTAGCTCAGGTCAAGCTGTACAAGCTGTACAAGCTGTAGTATCGCAGATCAGAAAGTGGTGATATCATGGATCAGAAGGGCAATATTGTAGATGTAAGTGATATCATGGATCAGAAGGGCAATATTGTAGATTTAAGTGGTGATATCATGGATCAGAAGGGCAATATCGTAGATTTAAGTGGTGATATCATGGATCAGAAGGGCAATATTGTAGATTTAAGTGGTGATATCATGGATCAGAAGGGCAATATTGTAGATTTAAATGGTGATATCATGGATCAGAAGGGCAATATTGTAGATTTAAGTGGTGATATCATGGATCAGAAGGGCAATATTGTAGATTTAAGTGGTGATATCATGGATCAGAAGGGCAATATTGTAGATTTAAGTGGTGATATCATGGATCAGAAGGGCAATATTGTAGGTGATATCATGGATCAGAAGGGCAATATTGTAGATTTAAGTGGTGATATCATGGATCAGAAGGGCAATATTGTAGATGAGTGGTGATATCATGGATCTGAAGGGCAATATTGTAGATATGTGTTGATATGAATCTGATCGAAGATATTGTAGATATGTGGTGATATGAATGAGAAGGGTGATATTGTAAATGCAAGTGATATCATGCATCAGAAGGATGATATTGCAGATGTAAGTGGTAATACATATTTGAAGGTTGATATTGCAGGTTTAAGTGATATGGATCAAAAGGTGATATTGCAAATGTGAGTGATGTTATGGATCAGAAGGGTGATACTGCCGATCGGTTATGTAGTTTAGTCAATGCACATAAAAGCCACATCATTTAACTTAGCAAGCTGAAGCTTCAAAGATCTTCCTCTGACACACAAGCCTTTGATTGCCAGGCCAGAGTTTCACAAACATGCTTTATTGTGCTATCTGACACATATGTAGGCCCAGATCAATTTCTAAGTAAGGCATATTGACACATTTAATCTTTACTGCTTGGCTTTAGTGTTATTGATATTGATCAATTTTGACTTGCCCAATTTTACAGAATTCACCATTCAGTCAAGGCCCCAGTTCATCCATCACTGAGAAACATATTCATGCAGCTTTTGATTTGGAGATGGGAGATTTGATGTGACATAAATTTTTGCACAAAAGAATCTGATATTAAATACCGTCATGTCAAGAGCTGCCATGGGTTTTCCTCTACACAAATCTCTTTGATGACTGAAGGAATTGGACACATGTAACGACAAGGTCGGAGTTCCTGATAAACGCTTTCACGCAATCACGGCATCAAAGAAAAGGTGATTGTACAAATAGAGCAACGTTTGAACAGGAATGTGACAAATTGCATTAAGCATAATGAACAAGCTCGGGATCAAAGTCATTTTATATTAATCTGAGAGATCAATAGATTTTCCCACTTTGCCATTTTTTACTGGGATTGTCTGGCCCTGAAATGACCAATCAGGTCCCAACATCATCAATGTGCGAACCTGTGTGACATATGGCTCGCGGCCCTGCCCCAGTCAAGCCAAAGAACCAAGCCAAAGGCCAAGAAGTGCTTACTGAGGTGAGGAAAACTATATCCAATCTGTAAATAAAACAATTTCTCTGGAAACTATGGCAGATCAATTAGAAACACTATTCACTGAAGTAGATATACATTTAAGCAACTCTACTAAAAGAAGTTTCCCCATTTTTCTGAAATGAAATATGTACAAGTTATTGTTTCTTTTCCTAAATAACAGAATGGTTGATGTCTGTTGGACATCCTAATATGCTTTACCTGTTAGAGTATGCTTACAAGTTTGGTCTTGTCTGATGCATATTATACATGGTGTAAAATTCTGTCGATTTAATAGTTTAGCTATTAATATTTTAGTTGATTCTAAAAGTATTGTTTGGTTGTCTTAATACTAAAACTATGAGTGGAAATTGATCTCGGAGATGGGGAACCTGGGTAGCAAAGTTGACCAAGGTTTTTGCTGTGCATGCCAGAAGACAGTGATAGGGTTCGATTCCAATATACACACTTAATAGTAGTAGTACTAGTAGTAGTAGTAGTAGTATTATTGGTAGTGGTAGGAGTGAGTGGTAGTGGTAGGAGTGAGTGAGTGAGTGAGTGAGTACACCAGAAATGGGTTCACACATTGTACCCACTTGGGGAATCGAACCTGGGTCTTCTGCGTGAAGAGCGAACGCATTAACCACTGGGCTACCCAACCGCCCCGGTGGTAGTAGAGGTAGTGGCGATAGTGGCAGAGGTAACAAAGTGAGCAAAGGGAAAAAAGTGGCACTGTAAAATAATGCAATTTCAAGTGTAAGCCATATTTCAGTGGGCCTGTTTAATCTGGTGGCCTTGACCTTTGCAACACAACATGAAAACCAATTGCAATCCAATTAATTCATTTATTGTATGATTTCTACTCTTTTGGCTTGAAGTTTTCTGCGAAAAAAAACTATGTAAAATTTTTGATTAGGAGCAGCGGGTGAAAAACTTATTTTTCTCATATCAATAGCAATGAGTAATTTGAAAGTAAAACATGATACCTTGAATTTTTTAAGTCTACTTATGACATTGAAGTTCGCATGAACTTTCAAATTTAAACATTTCAGTGTGACATCTTCTGTATTTTAAACATGCATGAAAAATGCAAGTGAGTGAGTGAGTGATTTGGATTTAAGGCCACTTTGGACATTATATCAGTTCTTCAGTATAAGGTGGCAGGAAACCTGAAGTGATGCAGGTCCTACTGGCAAACAAGGATAAGTTGGACCGGCGCAGACAACGCGTTTACGAGAAGTAGGTGGTGCACGGCAATCAACAAACCCATTTGATTTGTGAAAGGTAGAACAGATGTAGGTTAGTGCACCTGCATTGCAAATGATGGAGTAGTAATGAAGTAGTAGTAGTAGTAGTAGTAGTAGTAGTAGTAGTAAACATCTTAGACCAGCATCACCTATGTTTTCCCTCCCACATGCCATGCTATGATCTTCCTCCCAGGCGTGATAGAAACAACAATGTTTCATGACCTTGGGGATGATGAGCAAGCAGACCATGTGATCAACTATAGTTGTCATGCAAACAGGATCATTATCTGTCTGCTGACAGGATGATTATCTGTTTGCATCGAGAACTTGTCCAACTGATAAGAGACATAAAAAAATTGTTTCCGGCAAGAAAGGTGCATATTCATATTAATAAACTCAGGAAGGTCAACCATCATGTAGTGTCCTGTGTGGGCTGAATGGAGACAATTGGGCAGGGATACTTCCTCACCATGTGATTGTAGGTTACACACCACCAAATGTTTTCCCATAGACTTCTATAGTAGCCTTATAGTTTTTTAAAAATAATCCAGGCTATCAACAGCCATTCCATGTACACATGGGTACACTCTGGCCTTTAAACTACAATAAAACACAATATCTGGCCGACTTGTCCGGCTTGTTTTGCGAGCACAGGAAGCGGAACACATCAACCCCAGTTCCGCACCAAATGTCACCTACTGGAAAATATCTGTACACACAATAAGCATAAGTCATGGTGATGAAAATCACAGCACTGAATACTTAAAATTGTGGTCAGTTTTAATTACTGGTTGGATATGCTTTTAAAAAACATAAACATCTTACACTATTTCATCCAATCACAGCTGTCACATGTCTCTATCTCTTCATTTGTTTACATACGGTTCTTGCTCAGCGAGCAAGCGATTCTCATTTAGTGTAGTATAACCTGTAGCTTACCTCTGAGGTCCATGATTGACATCAGATCATAACGACCACAGGTCAACTCAAGGAAGCTATGGCTGAAATTCAAATCCATCTATGAAATGCTAGGTTAGCTCACCCAGAAATACTTAACTCTTATCCTTGGTCAGCTTTCAGATATAGCCAAAGTCTGTCCTGACTAACCACAGCATAGGTCCTGCTCAGTGAGAAATTATACCTGGTTAACAATTTGTATCAGGACAGGACAGATTGAATGATCACTCAACAATCATTCTTGCAGGGCTAGCTCTCAATAGATCTCACACTATCCACGAGATCCACCAAAGATGAGACATATAGATTTGGGCCATGATTCTGTTCAAGCCCCTCCCTAGTTCATCACAACCTCTCCCCTCTGCCCTCATAGAACAAACAGAAGCATACCTAACAACACTATTTAGGGTAGTGTGACATTAGAGAAATCTCTCTATCTTAAAGCAATTCAAGTTTGTCTTTTCAATTGTTTTCAACAACATCTACCAGGTCCTCACCAAATTCCCAACTGAGGTTGGTGCCAAGATTACACAGTTCTTACATCTGACAGTTGGATTTTCTTTGTGAGTCAGCTCCACTACAAGATGACCCTACATCAGTGTCCAGCACTTGTATCCCATCGTACATGTCATCCATTTGGAAGGACCAAGTTTGCAGCTGGGAACTTAGTAATCTGTATGCTTCTAGAAAATGGAGCTGCTTGTGCACAAGACAACTCTTATACCAGCAGAGATTTCTATTCTCCAGTATTTTCTAGAGCCAAAACATGTGTTTTAGATGAATATTATCTTTGACCTGAAGCTCCTCAACAAACATTATCTTGTACTTCCCACACAGTCAGTCAAGAAAATAAGAACTGCTTTCAGGAAGGGAGTTAGTCAGCTCGACTTAAAGGATGTATATCTCCATATTGCTATCTATTCCGAGTGCTGAAAACCTCTGTTTCACTGTCAAAAGCAAGAGATACAAGATTCAATTTTTTTCCATTTGTCATATCAGTGGCACCAAGGATGTTCACTCAAATGATGACTGTCTTTGTCGGCTTTGCTCATTTTAATGAGTACAGACTGCATGGCTATATAGATGACTTCCTATCTGCTGATCTCAAATTTTCTTGATAGAGCTGTTGATCCTTGGGTCCTTTGTTCATCCTACCAAATTGGATTTTTATCCCATACAGGAAATCACATACATAGGGGCCAGGCTCCAGTTATACCCTCTGGGCCCCTCAAAGAACATAACATGAAGTCACAGCCCATGATTGTAGAAGCACTCAACTGTATCTTCTGTCAAGCAAGACTGTCATCAAGATGCTCAGTATGCACAGATGTCTCCATCAGGAATATCACTGATCTCTTAGGTGTTCCTGGAAGTATTGGAAGGCACGGTCATCAGGGGAGAGGTCTCTGAAGTGTCAAAGCTGCAGTCATCTGTGGACTTCATATGCATGGGACAGGGTTGAAGTGCAGCCTCATCAAGACAACATGGAAACATTTGGCAACCCGTGCCCAGTTCCACACCCTGACCCTCACTACACTGTCAGACTCTGCAGCTAATGTATTTGACGGTACCTAAGCCTTAGAGCCCGTGCCCAGTTCCACACCCTGACCCTCACTACACTGTCAGACTCTGCAGCTAATGTATTTGACGGTACCTAAGCTTTAGAGGAATAGGTCACTCAGATAGAAGGATCTTCAGTCAAGGAGACACAGACAGATTAAGACAGGGATCTTCATATCCATGTTGGTGATTTACCATGCACT